ATCGAGTCCCGCATCGGGCTCCCGGCTCAGCGGGGAGCCTGCTTCTCCCTCTGACCTTATCCCCTCTCATGCTGTTTCTCTCTCTCTCTCTCTCTCTCTCTCTCAAATAAATAAATAAAATCTTTAAAAAAAAAAAGAAAAGAAATATTCTCAGGTCTGGCTCTATGGAGAGGCTCAGGAGGGGGCCAACCACGCTTGGCTGACTACTTCATGTAACACAACTTTTAAATATGGAAGTGTGATTCCCAGCAGTATGCTATAAGCAACGTGGAATCCTTGAACGTCAATGAGCTTACAATTTCATATGTTCTTTGTTATATATATGTGTATATATATATATGTACATATATATATGTATGTATGTATGCACATGTATACATATACCTACATATACACTCAATAACATTTTCAGAAAAATAAGATTTCAGAAGAGGCCACATGGCAGTATTTGAACCAGGGACAAACAAGCGATGCAAGTAAAAAGCGCAACGGAAGCAATGGGCCAGTAGTCTAGAAGTTCAGAAGGTTTCACGGATGGAGCACAGAGGCAGGAGGGAGGGATTCTGGGTTGGAAGGAATAGTGTGCACTCAGTGGAGAGTCTGCTCAAGATTCTCTCTTTCCCTCTCCCACTGCCCCTCCCCCCACTCACACACAGGCGTTCTCGCTCTAAAATACGTCTTTTAAAAAATATTTCCTATTAGGAGTTTATATCAGATATATAATATATTTTATATTATACATTTTAACATATTTTATAATATATTGATATATAAATATCATTTGTGAATTGAGGCAGATCATACTCCTTATTTATGATACCACCTTACACCAGATACCACCTTACACCAATTAGAATGGCTAAAATTAACAAGACAGGAAACAACAAATGTTGGCGAGGATGTGGAGAACGGGGAACCCTCTTACACTGTTGGTGGGAATGCAAAAGTATAGGAAAACAGTATGGAGGTTCCTCAAGAAGTCAAAAATAGAGCTACCCTACGACCCAGCAATTGCACTACTGGGTATTTACCCCAGAGATACAGATGTAGTGAAAAGAAGGGGCACCTGCACCCCAATGTTCATAGCAACAAAGTCCACAATAGCCAAACTGTGGAAGGAGCCCAGATGTCCATCAACAGATGAACGGATAAAGAAGATGTCGTTCATATATACAATGGACTATTACTCAGCCATCAGAAAGGACGAATAGGGGTGCCTGGGTGGCTCAGTCGTTGGGCGTCTGCCTTCAGCTCAGGTCATGATCCCAGGGTCCTGGGATCGAGCCCTGCATCCGGGCTCCCTGCTCTGTGGGAAGCCTGCTTCTTCCTCTCCCACTCCCCCTCCTTGTGTTCCCTCTCTCGCTGTGTCTCTCTTTCTCAAATGAATAAATTTAAAAAATTTAAAAAATGATGAATGCCCACCATTTACATCGACATGGATGGAACTGGAGTGGATTATCCTAAGTGAAATAAGTCAAGCAGAGAATGACAATTATCATATGGTTTCACTCATATGTGGAATATAAGAAATAGTGCAGAGGATCATAGGGGAAGGGAGGGAAAACTGAATGGGAAGAAATCAGAGAGGGAGACAAACCGTGAAAGACTCTCGACCCTGGAAAACAAACTGAGGGTTGCGGAAGGGGAGGGGGGGGGATGGGGTAACTGGGGGATGGGCATTAAGGAGGGCATGTGATATGATGAGCACTGGGTGTTGTATAAAGCTGATGAACCATTGAACACTACATCTGAAACTGATGATGTACTATATGTGGGCTAATTGAATTTAAATTTTAAAAAAAGGAAAAAAATTTTTTAAATTTTAAAAATTAAAAAAGGTTTCCTATTAGGAGTTTATATCAGATACATAATATATTTTTATTATACATTTTAATATATTTTATAATATATTGATATAATTTATAAATACCATTTGTGAATTGAGGCAGATCACACTCCTTATTTATGCATTTGTATTTATACAAAAACATTTATCTATAGTAATAAATATATTTAATTATAAACATGTGTATTTTTATAATATATTATATCATAGATGATAGGTAGTTAGATAGATAGACAGATAGATCTATGCCCCAGTACCCCGATGGCATTTTGAGATGACACAAAAAAATCTTCTTTATGCTTTCCCCCCAACTTCTCTACAATGAGTGTGCCCTACTTTTACAGTCAGGCAAGAGATTATGTTACAAAATGACATACAAAGTGGGGGTGGGGGGATGGGGTACTAAGGAGGGCACGTGATGTGATGGGCACTGGGTGTTGTATGCAGCTGATGAATCGTTGAACACTACATCAGAAACTAATGATGTACTATATGCTGGCTAATTGAACATAAAAATAAATAAATAAATAAAAATTTCTAAAAATGACATACAAACTATTCAAAACAATCCCTCCCAGGTGAATACTGCTGAAACAGTTTCCAGAAATGCTCCCTGTGCAGGTAAATGCCTTCTCATGGTTCCTTTTCCCCCTACCAGGGCACGTTATTGATCTTTCTCAGCATAAGGGCAAACGGAATTGAAATGATGTAAATATAGAATCTGAAAACTCTCTGTGTCTCATTATAAAATACAAAAGTGACAAAATATATTTTAAAAATAACCATCTAGTGGATTTATTGGCTTATCCAGATCAAACCAAACCCCCAGCCCTCAGCGTAAAACCTCTCTTCCTCACTTCCTGGAGGAAAGTAAACGGCTTGGCATGCTTGAGCCCGCGTAGACCCCTTTATCACATGTCTTTGGCACACATCAATGCTAAACCCCGCCCCCCCCCAAGGGCCCTTTCTTCATCTTTTTCCGCTCCGGACCATCAGCCCCCTCGGGTTATAGGTTAATTTGTGCCTTGGCTTTGCCTCCTTCTGGAATGTCATGTCCTGGAGAGCAGGCAGAGCCTATAACCAATGCCTGGTACAGAGTACAGGCTCAGCAAATGGTTGTTGAAAGAAATTGTTGGCTGTCCCTTCTTTCGTTGTCTTCCTGGGCCTGCCTTATTGGCCCCTGCCTGCCACCCTCCACCCAAGCAGGGCAGCTCCCTGGGTTTGGGCACCAGGGGGCCCCTTCGGGCCAAGCCCTTGAGCTGATGATCCCCACCCGGCCCCGCAAACCAACCAACCAACCAACCAACCAGCCAACCAACCAACCAGCCAACCAACCAACCAACCAGCCAACC